AATATAATTAACTGTGGTCGCTGGCACCAAGGTACTGCTGCCACTTTTTCACCTTCACTCACACCCTCTCTGCGGAGCTGCGGAAAATTGAGAATTGATCCACCCGTACAGCTTCCTTTTCAGATCACTCAGCGTATAAGGGAGCTGTCCTCTCTGCTGCTCCCACAATTTACTGCCCAATTGATTCTTACTCTTCCCTGTGTCTTCCTTAATCTTGCAATAGTTAAACTCTCCTGTTGCTGTTCGGTTTTTCTCTTTGCCTCTTTTATTCCTTCAGTCAGTGGAGTAAGTGTGTTAGACACAGAGCAGGCGTATATCTTCATAACAGCCAGCTACTCTGTGTTTCTCCTAGTAGATCAGGGCTCCTAGAAGGCATCCCTCGCACCTTCTTCTTTTTTGTTTTTGGCTGTGCTGTGTGGCTTGTGGGATCTTAGTTCCCTGACCAGGGATTGAACCCGGGCCCCCAGCAGTGAAAGCGCCTGAGTCCCAACTACTGGACCTCCAGGGGATTCCTTCCTCGCACCTTCTTTGACTTTGAGCCCCTAGAGCCTGCCTGTGGCGTGACACGAAGAGGGTGTCGAATATTTTGTTGGATCAGAATGTTCACGAGGACTTCATTCTGTCATGTTTATTGTTCTTCCAGAGTTCACTTATTTGTCGTTTGCTATAAAATAGATTTCCAGTGATTATTTCTGTGCTGGCTAATCTCTGGAGAAAAAAGAAAACAAAACAAAACAAAACGCTTTGAATGGATACTTAACTGGGTTTGGCTGGAATTCTGGGGGGCTGGAATGAGAGCCAGAAATTTCCCATTTCTCCAGGAACCTGACTGAATGAGAGGGGTGGGTAGGAGGTCTCATCTGGAACTCAGCCCTTCCCCAGTTTGAAACCCTGAGCTGTCCAAGAGCCCCCGGAAAATACCCATCTCCCGTTCGTATTCGTGTACCTTTCTTTTCCCAGCCAAATCCCCCCTGAGGAATGTTAGAGCATTATCTTTCTAGGGCAGTTTATCCAGCATCTGACTTAAGCATGCCATTCGGGCAGGCACATCTCCAGTTCTGGGTATTTGCAGTGCTTACCTGTGTAGCGTGCTTATAGAAATGTCCCCTGGGTGGTCCCTTTTTTTTGTTTTCATAAAGCATTTTGAAATTTTGGATATTCTTTTTCTTTCCCGGGAATCTTACTTTGTTGATTCTTTTTTCCCATGTGCTCTGAAATGCTGTTTTAGTGTTTTCTTTGGTATTCAGTTTAATATTATTTTCTCTTTGTGACCATTTCTACCTAGTCTGATGTTACTTTCTCAGCTATTTCACCCTTGCTGCCATCTCTCTCTCTCTCTTCTCTGCTGTGTGTTTCTTGCTGATGGAACACTCAGATATTCTCTCATGTTCTTCTGACTTGCATCAAGGGACCCCGGAGGTCAACCCATTGAGTCAGATGCCTGATAGACAAGTTTCAGATTTTAGAGTCAGAGAGATCTTTGTTCCAGTCCTACCTCTGCCTCTCGGTAGCTGTGTGGCCAACCATTCTCAGCCCCAGCCATCTCATCGGTAAAATTGGCATGAGAACCTATGTCGTACACCATAGTGGTGAGAATTCGTTGTTGGCTGTTCAGTTACTTACAAAGCCCCACCTAGATGCACTGTGACCATCCATTCTACAGTTCTGTTACGATCTTGCTTTTATAAAATCATCTTCCTATTATAGACAGTTTACAAAATGGATAGCTCCATGTAACTTAGCTAAATTTATTTTATAACTGCAATTATAAATCATAATTTAATTTCCAAAACTTTGCACATAAATAAAGTCACAAGTCAGAGACGACACTCTTTTCTGAGACTGCACATCTCAGGGGTGGGTTAAGAATGGATGGACCAATGCCCTCTTGCTGTTGGCTCCATTGTAGACATTCGTGGCCAAAGAGGCGGTAAAGATGTAACCTGTACTCCCGTGCTTTAGCTGCTGTTACGTTCCCATGACCACAGGTCGGGCTCTGCAAGCACAGAGTGTTTTTCCTTTCCTTTTCTTAAGCTTGGAATGAAAGAAAAGAGTCTTAATGATGATTTTTAACTTCTGTGACATGCCCTTCACTGCTAAGAATCTGCTTGTCTTTCTAGCCTGGGCACAAAAGCATCCTCTTCTCCTCTTCTTTCTGGCTATGCCTCGTGAACAAACTGGGGTTTTATGTAGCTCAGCAAATGGGCTTTTTTAGGATCAGTGGAATCAGACACACTCACGTCTTTGTCACTTTAGTGCCTGAGGTGCTAAAACTGTACATTATTCACAAACTCCAAGTGAGAGCGAGGAAGAGTGTGTCTTGGCACCAGAGAGGACAGTAAAGCTCTGAGAAGACCCAGAAAGTTACCAGTTGGGCATTATTTCAAGTGTATCCTAAGTGGTGGGATTTGCTTCTTTCTGTAAGTAAACCTGTCCATCTGATTTTAACCAGGAAAGAAGGATTTTATGACACGGATACATACAGGTGTTCTTTTCACACTGCCATTTGTGAAGGGTGATGAGCTGTCCTTTCTTGGAATGCTTTCTCCACGACTTCTAGCATTTTTATTTCAAGTTTCATATCACATAGAAATACCCGTGTTAAAATTGAGAATGTGTTTTTTGAGATGGGTGGAATGATATGCCATAGACCCTAGAAACAAGAAAAATGTGTTGAGTCAGACTCCTCTCCCTTTGGGGAGTTTACCCAAGAGAGTCTTACGTGTGCTCTAGGTTGGGGGTGGCAGAAGGTAGGGGAGACAGATTGACCTGGTCTGTCTTCTGATTGATTAGGAGTCAGTTTGTAATTTTGTTATAAAGGGACTGGAGCTGTCCAGTGCCTTGTGTCTGAGTCTTAGAGGCCGTGGTGGCTGCTTATTGAGAAATGGGCTGTTCCTTTGTTTTGGTCTCTGGGGAGATTTGTGGATGGTCAACTGGTCAGGGCAGTCGGACCTGACTTCGGCCTTGCTGGTCCCAGGATTTCTTTCCCGTAGAGCTAAGAGCAAACCAGGACCAGCACTGGCGAGAGGGCAGGGCTGGCCGCGTGGCAGTGCTTTCCCAGCAGCTCAAGTCCCAGTTAACAGGAGAGGCGGGCAGAGCATGCATTGTGCTTCATTGTGCGTGTGTCTGAAGCAGAAACTAGTCTTGAGAGCTTAACCAGAAAACATCTCAAACAGTCCATGAAATGGTAAACAAACCTGCTGTTGAAAGAAAGAATGAGAAGTTGACAGTTGCATTATTGTGATCCTGAGTGGGTTCATCGGCTAGGCTAGGGTCGAGGAATAAGGAAAAAGGAGATTAAAAGAATCGGGTGAAATGAATTCAGTTGTGTTAATGTCTTTCTTCCTTTGTCTTCAGTTTACACCTGGTAATGAACCCATGGAGGCTCGGAGATATTGTTCGAGTTTCCTTTTGTTTTATTTGTGTGTGTGTGGGGGGGGTGGCAGGTTTGTTTACAATTTCCAAAGGGGTTTTTTCCTCCATCCTGAGGAATATGAATTGAGGAGGAGGGGAGGAGGAAACAAGAAGGGGAGGAATTTTAGTATTTTGAAGACAAGAGGTGACCCCACAATAAGGGAACTGCTCTGAGGCCGATGGGATGGATGGTACCAGTCTCATCAAATATGGGTTTTACAGAGCCCCCGCGTGTTCCGCCTGGGGAAATCACACTTTGGAAAATTAGGTGTCCATCAAATCAGGAGGAGGCTGGTACAGTTTCTGTCCGTTTCCCCCCTGCTTTTTGAAAGGCTTAAGAAAAGAGTCCTTTGTTTTCTTTTCAAGGAAAGTTACACTGAAATTCATCTGTGTGGGATTCACAGACTCCATTTGTGTCATTCATGGGCAGCCGTAGGTTATATAGGACAATGGTGGTGATAACGCTGGTGAATTCCTGACCTCAACATTCAGAGCTGCGTGTTGGGAAAAGGTTCAAGACCTTTCCTTCTTTTCACTTGCTCTCTCTTTTTTAAAAAAATTATTATTTAAGGAAGAAACAGATTTTCCCACCTCCCGTCTACGTTAGATTTCCCCACCACAGGACATTGGAGCATCACAGGCTTAGATTTGTGCCTGTCACTTCCAGCATTTTCCTCCGAATTGCAAACTTTCAAATACCTTTCAGGGAAACTTGTTTGGAATTTCATTTTAATGGGATTTATGAATAAATCTCCATCTTAATGCTGACTAAGCTTTAAACATCCATTCCTGGAGAACACTATTGGATTTTTATATTTTAAAATTTAAATCACTTGACAGTGAAGGCACAAAACACTTTTATATTTTATATTTGTGAGTGCCATGTGCTTGAGCACTTCTGTTAAAGACTTTTTTTCCCCCCGTTGGCTTGAATAATTCTGGGCTGCAAAGGAGGAGATATTGCATCTTCTACTTTCCTTTCTCATGTGGATGCCTGTGTACATTGTGCGGGTTTGTTTATCTCACCTACAAGGATGGGGATTCTGTGGCAGCCTGTTGCCACGCTGCAATTTCCTTTTAAAAAAAGTTTACTTTCTTCCTTCACTTTGAAACCTTTAACCTCAGAATTTTATTTTTAAATGCTGTGAACCCTCAAAGTCAGATTAAAGGAAGTGACGCTTCCTCCCTACCTGCCTTTCCCCAGAGATGCGTTGTAGAATGTAAATGAAGATGAAAGCTGGGATCATAGTCAACCCCTTTAAAAAAAATACTCAAAACTAGGGCTTCCCTGGTGGCGCAGTGGTTGAGAGTCCGCCTGCCGATGCAGGGGACACGGGTTCGTGCCCCGGTCCGGGAGGATCCCACATGCCGCGGAGCGGCTGGGCCCGTGAGCCATGGCCGCTGAGGCTGCGCGTCCGGAGCCTGTGCTCCGCAACGGGAGAGGCCACAGCAGTGAGAGGCCCGCGTACCACAGGAAAAAAAAAAACAAACAAAAAAACCCTCAAAACTAATGCTGGGGGTTTTCAGGTGTCAATCCTCCACTGTGTTCTTTGTGTCTGGTGTCATCTTCCCCCATCTGTCCACAGACTCATCCTACTCCGAGCCTCCAGATGTTCAGCAGCAGTTGAACCACTATCAATCCGCTGCTCTGGCGAGAAACAACAGCCGTGTTAGCCCCGTGCCTCTTTCTGGAGCTGCGGGGGGCACTGAGCAGAAGACGGAAGCTGTTCTTCACTGCGAATTCTGTGAATTCTCCTCTGGCTACATCCAGAGCATCAGGCGCCATTACAGGGACAAGCACGGTGGGAAGAAGCTCTTCAAGTGCAAAGACTGCTCCTTTTACACAGGCTTTAAGTAAGTGGCATGAAGAACAGCCTTGAAAAACAAGGTGGCAGCACCCGCTTCACCCCTCACCCTACTCTTCCCTTTCACTCTATCTGGAGCTCATGGGAGGCCCTGCCTGTGGGATGAAGAAGGGGTTGTTGGGTCCAGTCTTCACAAGAGGAGGCTAGTTCCAGAAGACTGTTTTGGGGGTTTGGGGAAGAGATGAAGAGCCATATCAGAACAAATCAGTTTAAAAATCAGAGCAAATGGGTGCTCAAGGAGCGTGAGATCATGGCAAAGGATTTCCCTGACCCAGTATGTGCAACAGTGAGTGTTTTCCCTTTGGAAAACCACACCCTCACCCTCACCTTTTATTTTATTTGTCTTTGGGGGAAAAAAAATACCTTCTCGGAAGCAAAGTCAAAGTCAAGAGAGAGAGACACCCCTGCTACCCTTGCAGAGATTTCTTATTTCTTAAGATCATGTTATTGAAAGACACCCAGAGAACCAAGACTCCACACTGGGAAGACTAAACTTGAACAATCACAGAGAGATTGTTCCCATCTAGAAAAAAGATAATCCGGAGTCACCTTTGCTCCTGTGTATCAGAAAGATTGGAATGCTTCCTATCATTTAATCTAAAGTCCTGTGATTTCATCTCATCCTGGGAGATACTGTTTAGGTTCATGGTTACGAGTGTAGAATATGGAGCCTGACTACCTGGGTTTGAACTCCAGCTTTGCCACTTACTGGCTGTGTGACTTTGGACAAGTTACTAAGCCTCTCTGTGTCTCTGGTTCCTTATCTGTTTAAAAAAAAAAAAAAAAGACAATAATAGTACCTACCTTGTAGGGCGCTTGTGAGGAGTAAAAGAACCGTAAATGAAGCCGTAAAGTGCCTAGCATAGTGCTTGGAGCAAAGGAAGCACTAATAAGTGTTATTGTATCATAGATAGAAAGCTTTTATAATAATATGAAACGCTATAGTACAGATATAAAGCTATTATCTGCTCCTGCTGCCGTCAGGGCCTGGGCTTTAGGTCACTCCAGTATTTCAATACACACTCCACACAGAGAGGCTGGTGAGTAGACTTCATGCCCCCCCAAAAAACATGAACTGATAGAAAAACAAGTCTCTTTTCCACCAACATCTTAGTCGCTGGGATTTAATGGAAAATGTGTTACATCTCTGACTATTAATGTGGTTCAGTTGTTTTTTAGATAAATATGTATGTGACCTTAGAAGTGAGAGAAGGCAAAAAGGACCCAGATAACAAGGGCCCACTGACGGGTGTACATGTTTCCCCAGAGAGAGGCACTCGGGTTAATAAGAAGGGGACCTTGCCCGTTAAACTCTTGGTTTCATCCATTTTTATGAGACATTTAAGGCTTTGTAAATTTTGAAGTTTTGAAAAGGATGGAGTGGGGAGGCAGTGGTACCCTCCGCCTTTGAGCTGGTACAGCAGCTCTGAGTTTCCTTCACGCGGTCATCAACCGCCCTGACTTCCTAACCAGCCTGCCCTCCCCTGTTCCCTGGGAGGAGTCGCCGAGGAAGCTGATAAATCTTCCCAGCTTCAAAACAGTCCCTCTCCTTCTGAGCTTGATGAGAAATATATTCTCGTAGGGATTTTGTTTTATATTTTTAACAGGCAACTTCTAATTCTCAAGAATAAAATCAGGAGTCTGTTTCTTTCTTTTCAAACTTAGCCCTGCCTGAGCCCAGCCAGGTAGCAAAATTTCCAAAAAGAAGTTACCACTGCATGACAGTGCTTAGTTATTGCACGAGGGACCAGGGCACTCGTGGTCAGCAAACATGATGAACCACTGTAGTTTTGGCCCCCCGGGTGGAGTGTCTCTGTAGTAGGGTTGCTGGCAGGGGGTGTGAGTGAGATGCTCCTTGGTTACAACTCATCGCCTCTCTCCCCACCTCCCTCCCAGATCTGCTTTTACTATGCACGTGGAAGCCGGGCATTCGGCGGTCCCCGAGGAGGGCCCCAAAGATCTTCGCTGTCCTCTCTGCCTCTATCACACCAAATACAAACGCAACATGATTGACCACATCGTGCTGCACCGAGGTAACCTTCCAAGCTCGGTTTTCTTGTGCGGGGCGGGGGAAGGCGGCTTGGCTGGCGGCGTTAGAGGGAAGCCGTCTCAAGGTGGAAGCGGCACCTTTGCCTGGTCCCTTGCTCCCCACCGTATCTCCCCTCAAGAAATCACAGCGATCACCCTAGTGACAGCCAACAGGGTAAAAACATCTTCCAGCTGAGAGGATTTCCTTCACGTGGAGGGAGGCAGAGGTGGTGGATTCTGCAGTGAGCAGTTCTGCGGGGCTTCCCCCTGAGAGGGAGTTTTATATCCTGAGTCCTCCGCTCTCACGGCCTTGCTAAGGAAGGAGTGAATGAGAAGCAGAGTGGGTGGGTGAGGGCAAGGAGCTCTGTGGCTGTAAGCAGTTCTTTGGACGAACACCAAAATGATGATTTCTGAAGCAGAACGCGGAATTTCCCTTGAACTGGATGGAGAGAGAAAATTCTTAAAACTGAAAGTGGCCTGATATATGTTAGAAACCCCATAGGCTTTGGGTTTAAATTCTAGATTTAAAGCCTCCTGTGTTTAACCTCCCTCTCCTCCGTAAAAAGAGGTGACGAGTTATGCCTCTGAGGTGACGTATTGAGTGTCTAGTGTGTTCCATGTGGGTGCATCCTGGGTGTTCCGTAGCCGTCGGCTCCTCTGCTAAGCTGGGGTACGTCTTTTAGGTCCTCTTTGTTTTTTCTTTGAGTGGAGTTTACTGGTGGCCAATTCAAACAGTTAAACAACAGCCCCGTCTGCACTGGAAGGAAAAATATGTTTATGTAAAACCTACTTTATCCGGAAGAGATTTAAGCCAGAGGTGGATGGAAAAAGATGGCTAGAGTACCCGTTGCCAGTCTCTCTTGCTATTTCCACCTACTGACCTTTCCATCTCTCCTTCCTTCCTCCCTGCCTCCCTCCCTGCCTCCCTTCTTTTCTTCCTCTTCCTGCCTCTCTTCCTTCCTTTACCTCTAACCTAGGAAAGCTTTTAGGTATTTGCCGAAAATACCGAAAAAAGACTCGAAGGCAACAAGTGTCTCCTGCTGCCCTGCCGAGATGTTACTCTGAAATGCTGGGCATCGGGGGCGGGGGGAGGGGGCATTTTCAAAGTTTCCAGCATTTCCCCAGAGCTGCTGCCTTTTGCCGGCACGTTTTGTGACATGTCACCCACGTCTGCTGCAAACTCTGTGGAAGCCTCAACCTTCAGCACCCTCAGGTCCCCCTCCTCCCCGGGCAGGCTCATGAGACGTGACATGCCTGCTGGCGAGGACGTCCGCCTGCAAGCTAGGGAAAGCCACGCAGGAGCGTTTAGGCAGGAATTCCTGGCCCGACTGCCCCCTCCTGGTGTGCCTCCTCAGCCACCTGGCTTCCGGTCCCCCGGCCCATGTGTGTGTCGCTGGCTCTGTGCCCGCACTGCTTGGGGCGAGGCCAGGAGTCGTGCTGCTGTAGAACAGACAGCATCGGTGAGACCCCACTTTGGCGGTGGATTCTCTCTCTTTTCCATGTTGCTGCCTGGTGGGATCAGAGCCTTGATACCTAATGCGCTTGATGACTTTCCTTCCCTGAGCTGAGAATTCAAGAAACGGAGGCAGAGAGAGAGAAGCGCTTAATGCCTGGAGCATGCCACGCCTGACGTGGTGCTTCTCGCACACGCTTACTTCATCGTCCAGCCACACTGGGAGGGACAGTACTGTGACCCGTAGTCCTGATTTATGTACGTGAAGCTTGAAGCTGGAAAAAACTTTTTCTTTGATTTAGTGTAGTTATTTACGATCGTTTCACAAAGGATTTAAGGTATCTTAAAAATAGTCGTGCAGAACTGTAGGATTAAAAACAAATGAGAAGGGCTTCCCTGGTGGCGCAGTGGTTGAGAGTCCGCCTGCCGATGCAGGGGACACGGGTTCGTGCCCCGGTCCGGGAAGATCCCACATGCCGCGGAGCGGCTGGGCCCGTGAGCCATGGCCGCTGAGCCTGCGCGTCTGCAGCCTGTGCTCTGCAACGGGAGAGGCCACAACAGTGAGAGGCCCGTGTACCGCAAAAACAAACAAACAAAAAAAGAAACAAATGAGAAGATTGGGGCAAATGCAGAATAAGGAGAAGGCAGTTGAAAGTCACGTCAAGTATGAAAAAGCTCACGTAGAGTCTGGGTACTCAGTGTCCGCCATGAGGTGCTGTGCGTTTGTTAGCAGTGGGCTGCAGTTGTGGCCCTGGGACTGCGGCCCACAGTAGGAGAGACAAAAACGGAATCAACTGGATTTAGAGTGTTTGTTAGACTCTTGAAATTTTGTTCAGGAATCTGAGATGCTGGAACCTGCAAGGAGTTTCTCCGCTGGGTTCTCCTGAGGGGACCGTGTAGGAGGTAGTGCATACTGTCCCCCCCTGAATCCAGTGCTGAGTCCCTTGGGCCCACGAGGGCTGAAGTAGTTTAACCAAAGTCATCCAACCGGTGAGCAGGGAAACTGTGTGTCAACGCAGTCCTCTGACCCCATGACCCATCCATCATATTGCCTGTCACTGGTTACTTACAGTCTCTTCTCTTTATTTATAGAGATGATTTATTTTAAAAGAGGCATCAGAGTATATAGATACTGTCCTCATTGGGGTCAGAAAGTACACAACCTGGAATGAACATGAGCATTTGAGGGTTGGTGGTAATAATGACAACATCCGTGGCAACAGCAATGGTTACTATTACTGAGAGCTTATTAGGTACCAGGTGCTGTGCTAAGTGCTTTCCAGTGAGTCATTTTATGGAATTTTCACAAAACCCTAAGTGGTAGGTATTACTGTTATCCCTGACAACAACAGAAAAACCAGGTTCAGAAAGACTAAGCATCTTACCTAAGGTCAAATGACTTAATAAGCAGCCCAGCTGGGATCTGAACCCAGGCTTGTCTGACCCCCAGCCCATGCCTTTACCCACCAGGCGTCACTGTCTCATCCTTGGGGAGGTGGTTGGTGTCACTCTGTTGAGCGTTCTAGTGGCTGTGGCATTTGGGTCTGAGGGTGGCGTGGTCTGGAGGCTGCAGGTCAGAGATGAGGACCACTGAGCCGCAGGGGGGCAGGGTGCTTCGGGACAGCGTATCTGCCATCTGCATCCTGACCTGGCTTTGGTGGCCATCCCAACTCAAAATGGCAGCTCAGTGGGAAGCTGGTCTCGACAAGTCAAGAGACAGGGCTGGGTGTCTGCCTGGCAATTTCGAGTTGGGGCTGATCTCCAAGTTCCAGATGTGGCTCTTCCTCCACCTGTGCTTTCCTTACTCTGTGGATGAATAAACATCTTTGGTCTCTAGAGCCTGCAGTACGAGATCTTTCTGAGACCTTAGTTAATTAAAATACGTGGAATGAAAGGCAAGAAAAGCAACTTCTGAACTGGCCCTGAGACTGAGCTGCTGTTTGCAAGACTGGAGTCTCCTTAGCTTTTTGTTCAGACAAATTGCTATATTTACATAGGGAGGAAGGGAAAGAGAATCCGTTTCACTCCTGGGAAATCTGAATGAGAAATAACCATGGAATTACGTTGGCTGTGGCAAAAGAGAGCAAGCATACTGTTTGTCCATGCATTCAGCAAACATTCATTATTTGCTTGTTTCATGCCACGCTGTGCTGCGTTCTTTGGGTTAAGATGGGATACACGAGACCCAGTCTGCCTCTTCAAGGAGATGAAGCGTGTGCATAAGTCCATATAAGATAGTGAGTGATCAGTATCTAGGAGATTCCCAGTGGCAGATATATTTCTGTTTGGGGTAGAAAAAGGTGGTAGAGGGGGTAGCTTTCAAACTGATCCATGATAACAGTTCAGCAGGCAGAGAAGACTTAAGATGGGTGTATTCGTTATCTGGGGGACTTAACAAAAGTGCGTCCTCTTTCTGCTTTGGAGCCTGGAAGTCTGAAATCCAGGTGTTCATAGGGCTGGGCCCCTCCTCAAGTCACTAGGAGAGAATCCTTCCTTGTCTCTTCCCGGCTTCTGCTGGCTCCCGACTTCCCTGGGCTTCCCTTGCCTTGTGGCTGCATCATCACTCCAGTCTCTGCCTCATCTGCACATGGCCTTGTGTGTGTGTGTGTGTGTCGGTGTGCCCTTTCCTCTTCTTATAAGAGCACTGGATTTAGGACCCACTCTAATCCAATATGATCTCATCTGGACCTTGTCTTGACTAACATGCAAAGACCTCATGTCCCAATAAGGTCACATTCTGAGGGGCCAGGTGGACATACATTTCTGGGAGCACCGTTTGACTCACTACAGAGTGGAAGGAGAATTTTAATAAACCAGTCGGGTGAGTGGAAGCAAGACGTGTTTACAGAGTGGTATCAGACTGTTCTGAAGAGAATAGAAGACAAGCCTAGGAGAGTATATTCCGGCCAAATTAAGGAGGGCTTAGGTACCAGCATGGGGTAGAACGTTACTCTGTAGGTAGTTGGGAAGCTGGGGTACTGATGAGACACCTGTGAATTCTAATTTAGCAAAGATTGAAGCCAAGGATTATAGACCCATCTCTTGGAGGAACTGTGAACTTAGGTCAGATCAACATTTGGTGAGGTTGACCATGATTGGACCAATTTAACTGGAGAAAAATTAAGCCCTGAGACTTCTGTTTCAAGGAGAAAGTTGGTGGTAGGAGGTTTGGTGGGTTTTCATTCATGCCACCAACACTTAACAGCCATCCTGTGCTAGTATTGCTTTAAGCTCCAGGGTTACAGCCAGGAAGAGTCAGGCCAGGTCTGGGCACTGAAGGAGCTTGAGCTTTAGTGGCAAGAGAGACAGTGAACAAAGGAGTAAACAGTTTCGGGAGTATGTTTCCACTGAGCTCTTTTTTTAAAAAATAAATTTATTTATTTTTGGCTGCATTGGGTCTTCGTTGCTGTGCACGGGCTTCTCTAGTTGCAGTGAGCCGGGGCTACTCTTCATTGTGGTGCACGGGCTTCTCATTGCGGTGGCTTCTCTTGTTGCGGAGCACGGGCTCTAGATGCGCGGGCTTCAGTAGTTGTGGCTCGCGGGCTCTAGAGCGCAGGCTCAGTAGGTGTGGTGCACGGGCTTAGCTGCTCCGTGGCAGGTGGGATCTTCCCAGAGCAGGGCTCGAACCTTGTGTCCCCTGCACTGGCAGGCAGATTCTTAACCACTGCCCCACCAGGGTAGTCCCTCCACTGAGCTTTCGTCACCATTGGAAGCACAATGCCTCATGCATCGCTTTGCCAAGACGTCCCTTGTATACGTACAGCAAACCTGGGTATAAAAAGCTGGGCACAGATTGAATTATAGGCATGAAACAGTTCTGCCGAATATTTGCATTATAATTATGAAGCTCTGTAATCCCCGAGACTGGCCTCCAGTTGGCTTGTTAGCTTCTCCGTCCCCAGCCTGTAACCTCAGCACGCACACACATGCTGAGTACGACTGAGCCCTGCAGGTGGGTGTCTTTTTGGAACTCAACTGATCTCCCCTAATTGATCTGATCGGTATCATTTTTCTTGAGGAAAAGAAAAAGATCTACGGTGAGACTGATAGTCTTTCGTTTTATTCAGTGAGATTACACGTTCCCTTCCTCCCCATCACGTGCTTTGGCCTGTTAGAATTAGAGGTGCAGTTCCCAGCTCTGTCTGGCTTGAGGGTGGTAGCCTGGCTGATGTCAAAACTTCTTACAGGAGCTGTTGTGCTTATGTTTCTGCGTGTCTATTTATGGTTATATTTGGGGATGGTGGCTTCCTAGTTCTCAGCCTTTGTCAGTTGTTTGGCTGAGAGAGGGTAACAGGTGGGTCTTTGGTTTGGCCCAGAGAGGGTCTCGGCCCTCTACCATGGTAACCTGCATTCAGAGTTTGTTGGAGTGAATGACTTCCAAATCTCCCCCAGCTTCCTGTAGGCCTGGCACGTTGTGGGGAGGAAACCCATGTGTGTTGTGGGCTCCCTTTCGGGAAGGATTTTTCCTTGGTGATTCTGGGCTCCACAGTGATGTGGGTTTTCGCTGTTTTGAGCAGAAGTGACCCCCTCACCCCCACCTCGGTAGTGGCGATTTTGCAGATTTTTCCACCCGGCACACACTTCCGGGCTCTTGGTGAACTTTAGCACCCACGTGCTACAGTGTGGCGTTGCTCCGGGCTGGAGCCTCTTGGCTTTTCTGTCCAGCTGCAGTGCTAAGCCATCTTTTGGGTGTGAGGAGATGAGAGACACGATCTATCTTGTAGCCAAACTGGTGAAGTCATAATATTTTTGCAACCAGAGCTGGAAGCTGAGTCACAATGAGTGTGATTCAGGCCTTGATTTCTTACCCAAGGTAATTTCGAGAGGTGTGAAGTCAGGAAAAGACCCCCAGTTGTCGCTGCCCCCGTAGAAAAAGCCCCAAGCGCTGAGCTTCTGTAGCCAAGACAGGGCTCAGGCCCCACCTGGAAACATTCCAGTCTCCCACTTTAGGACCTTCACTGGCCTCCACCGTGAATAACCTTATTGAGAAAACGCTATCGGTCCTTCACCTGCCTTTTAGAGTCTGTCTTGTTTTATATCTTGGTCATGTTAACCATGTTTGTAGAAAGGAAAAAAAAGATCACTTTTTTCTAAAATTAACATCCATATAACTAAGAGACTTGGGACACACTGTAGTTAATGTCTTAGTTTGGAAATGGGAAGTCTTACCTTTCAGGGTAAGTTAGCAGGGAAATGACCTTCTATGAAATCCAGAAGATTTGAAAGAAATACAGATAGAAATGGTTGCCCTAGACACCGATAGCTCTTGTGATTTTGAACTATTAGGAATAAAAGGCTTAGCAGTGCATGGCGAACAGACTGGACATGCCCTGAGAGTTCTTTTCAGGAGGAACAGAGGAGGGCGCGGGTGAAGGTCAGCGGACCCAGGCTCCCAGGCCACAACTCTGTGCTGAACTAGAGGAGCGACTTCGAGGAAGCAGCTTAACTGGTCCGTTCTCGGCTTTCACTGGAGATAATCAAACTGACTTTGCAGGGCGTTGTGAGAATAAAAAGTAGCTGAGAGGGTCGAACACCTAACCATGCTTGAAACATAGTGAGCCCTTAATAAATGGGAGCAGCCGTTCCCATTCATTGTTATTGTTTCACCTCCAAGGTATTATTCTGGGTGCTCCTGACTTTGTGCAAAATGCATTTAGACACACGGAGTGAAATAGGAAACTGCAAAGAAGACTAACCAAAGTGGTAGAGGAGTTGAAAAGGAGACCTATTAAAAAAAACACAAGCTTGAAAGAAACGATTATTTATGGGGGAGACGGGAAGACTGGAGGGCGACCGAATGTCTTCAAGGTGTTGAGGCGTCGTTATGTGGAAAATTATAGCCAGCTGTTCTCCATCTCCGCGGAGGTCGACAGAACCGGGGCCGACGGGACAGGCCAGAGCCAAAGAAGGAAAGGGGAAGCAGTAGAAACGACAAAATATAAATCAGGAACAAACACAGAGAGCATGGGGCGGGGGGAGGGTGCGAGTCTCAACTCTTCCCATGAACTCCTGAGCTGCAGGGTGTGGAACCCGGTCCCCTCGCTTCAGCCTGCCCCCCATCTCTTGCCGTGGGCGCCAGCTTGCTCGTAGCTCATGGCCACGCCTGTCTAACCCAGGGCAGCTGGACTGAATAGTTGGCACTTGACTTGGAGCGGTGTCTCAGTCGGGGTCCATCTCGCTTCTTCAGGGTGCAGCTGTCTGGAGGCATTTTCTGTCGTCGAGACTGGGGGGGAGGAGCTGCTGCTGGCCTTGGTGGGCGGGGCCTGGGGTGCCGATGTACACATGCTGCACTGCACGGGAAAGCCTCCCACAGCAAAGCATTATCTGGCATCAAAGCATCAGTAGTGCTACTGTTGAGAAAACCTGGGTTAGAGGAATAGAACATCATAGGCTGGGCTTTCTTAAGGCTCATTAGTTTACGCCAAAGCATTTTTTCCCTCCATTTACACCAAACCGTGGAACTGAATGGTTAGAAGACTGTTACAGCATTTGCTATTCTAAGAAAATGTGTGGATTCCATTATAATCATGTGTTTCTTAGCTGTCTGCTCTACTGTGGTTTAAAAATATTTATATTTCTAAATAAGCGACTGACTCTTTGTACAGGGAAAATAACATATGCATTAGAGCTCCAGGGAGTGTGGTGCAGACCACCTTCCACGCTTCCTCTGCCCAGATTCTTGCTGGCCAATTAATCGCTGCGTTCAAGGGCTGCCACGGCAGGGACTGCCCTGCACTGAGAATGTGCTGGTTGAGAGAAAGACAGGGCTTCAGGTGGGAAAATTCCCCAGGGGCCAAACACAGGCCAGCAACAAAGGGAGGCCTCCCAGGGTGAGCGGCTTCACACAACATCCTGATGCTCTGGAAATGTTGCCACTCGGTGACTCTGAGGGTACAGCACGCTTTCCTGACTTACTAATACATTGCTCTTTCTAAATAATATATGTTGTGTGTGTCCATCTGTAAACTTTCAGAGTCTTCTGAAATTCACACACAGCATGAAAGCACACGCTATATTTGATCCTTGCATAAATAGCACAGATTTTAATTTTATCCCAGTTACGGATATCTGGCGCGTGTGCCGAAACTCTGGGCAGACTGGTGTGAAATTTAACTTGAGCAGCTAAACACAAGGGTGAGAGAGCACAAAATAAACAAGCACACACACTTCCAGCCCTACAGCATTTGGTATGTGAATGGGAAAAGCACCCAAATCCTCTCTCTCTTTTATTTTCTCCCTTGTGACAGTCAGATTACAGATTGTCTGTAAAGGCACAAATCCTCCACATCTCCCACGCCACCCCTTTCTCCCCCGGAAGGCTGCCTGCAACCATTTCATCTGCCTAAGTTCTTCCGAGGTGGAGTTGGAGTTTCAGTGAATGAAAGTGTCCAGGATGCTTTGTTTTCAGATTTGAACTTAGATTAGAGATTCCCTTGGTTTCCAGAAAAGGAAAACGGTCTCCTTGAGAACATCTTGGAAGGGGAAACAGGAATGGAATTGGAAACGATGGGAAATAACAGACTTGCGGTTTGGTAGATGGGCATGGGGATCTCGGTGTGGGCAATTACAGAGTTTGTGACCCCTAGAGAGTTACTTAAAAGCTCAGTTCCTTGCTTTACTAATTTGTAAAAATGGGAATAACTCCAGCCTAATAGAGTAGCTAGGGAGGTACACAGTGGTGGCACATAGGTGCTCCGAGAATGTCATTTTCCTTCCCCCTTAAAGACATCTGTGACATCTGTAAGTCCAGCCTAAATGCCACTTGCTGAGGAAGTAGGATGCACTGATGGTTGCTGCTGATAATCATCCATGTTGGTACAAATTCTGTTCTTCTCTCCTCCTCTAATCGCCTCCATTCAGGAATTAGCCAACGCCTTTCAGCCTGCCCACCCCTATTTTTAGGTCATTCTGGGTATTAAGTACACAGAGAGCTTTCGGCCTTAGAAACACCTGTGTGTCCCAGCAGACTGTGTTGATTTGGGGGGTTGGAGGAGGGACGGTGGGCATGTGCGTGCAGTTCACGGACCTGGAGCCATGAGAAGTAGCAACAGTGGATGGGTGAGTCTCTCCTTGTACTCCCGAGAGAGGACATCTGCCTTCCATCAGTAAAAATTCCCATCTTTATATTCAATTTGTTTCCACAGAAGAGCGCGTTGTCCCCATTGAAGTATGCCGATCCAAACTGTCAAAATACTTGCAGGGAGTAGTTTTCCGCTGTGATAAGTGTACCTTCACCTGCTCCAGTGACGAGAGCCTCCAGCAACACATAGAAAAGCACAATGAACTGAAACCTTACAAATGCCAGCTCTGCTACTATGAGACCAAGCACACGGAGGAACTGGACAGCCACCTTCGGGACGAGCATAAGGTATGGGCCTGGCCTCCCTCCTCCCACCCCCACCCCCAGCACACCTGGGGGAGGGGCTGGGCCAAATTTAGCCACACCCATTGTGTGCAAGACAGAGACACGCGCCAAAGTAATGTTTAAAATGAGGTTCAATTTATTCTTTTATAAAAGAACTGTAAGGTCGTTTTAGAAAAGTGGAACACGTAGGTGGGGGAGAGAGAACCACCTGTAGTGCTACCCCCACATCCAACTGCTTAACATTTTTGGTCTCTTCTATGCCCACTTTCCTTTGTTTTATTTAATTATGATTCTACCTTACATGAAAGAGCATATCTTTCCTTTCTTGTTCTTAACTTACCCTAACTGGAGTATTTTTCCATGTTATTTTTTATTTTTTTGCGGTACGCGGGCCTCTCACTGCTGTGGCCTCTCCCGTTGCGGAGCACAGGCTCCGGACGTGCAGGCTCAGTGGCCATGGCTCGCGGGCCTAGCTGCTCCGCGGCATGTGGGATCCTCCCGGACCAGGGCATGAACCCGCGTCCCCTGCATCGGCAGGCGGACTCTCAACCACTGCACCACCAGGGAAGCCCTTCATGTTATTTTAAATGTACTATCACAAGAGTTGATGAACTTTTTCCATAAAGGGCTAGATCGTAATAGTTCAGGCTTTGCAGGCTAGATGGTCTCAGTGGCAGATACTCAGCTCTGCCCTTGTAGCAAGAAAGCAGCCCTAGACAAGACAAAAATGAATGGTCATGGCTGTGTTCCAATACAACTTTATTTACAAAATTAGGCGACAGAGTGTGGACCCTTAGTTGCCGGCCCCTATTCTATCTGATGGCTCTGCCGGCGTGTCCCTCAGTCATGTAGGTTGTTTCTGATATATTGCTGACTACAAAAATTTTCCAAGGCTTTGCTATTCATGTCTGAACATTGTAAGGACCGTGCAGTATGTGTTTTATTTGTGGAGGGAACAGATTAGTATAGGACATAAAATAAGGGGTTTATGAAAAAGAATTCTCTTCCAGAAGTCTGCTGATCAGAGGGTAAAATCATCCCAGATGGCTTCCTCACTTCTCTGAGGACTTGTGTGGCACATCAGGAGTTGAGACAGTTGTTTCTGGTTTTGTATATTGTCCAGAGTGTGGGGAGTGTGTGTGTGGGGGGGCAGGGATGATCAGTATTTGTTTCATGAAAAGAGCCTATTGAAATGCTTTCTAATTAACCAACAAATCCAAAACATCTAGTGCGTGTTTACCTAGGGCACAATGAGAAGCACTTTTGATACTGTTTCCTTTTTTCCTTGCTCTGTGTACTGTCAGTGGAAATAACAGCTTCTCCTTTCTGGACTTACAAACCCAAGTTATAAAGATTCCTGTCTGAGTCATCTGCACCCAAGGGTTGGAATTTTTCTGTGGGGTGTTGAGAGAGAAGGCTGAGCTTTATCACCCATCTACAGTTTAATGGTTTGATGCTAACTTTTCTGCTTTGGAATGCCTTCATTTTCTAATGTGTCTCCCCAAAAATGAAAGCAGAGAAGAAAAGCCTGAATTACCTCACTTAAAAACTTCCAATACCCTTTCTTATCCAAACTTCCTGGGCATTTCTGCCCCAAAACTGAAAGGAAAATCACTTACCTATCTCAAGCTAAGCTTTCTACAGTTATGCACACGTGTCTTATTTATGTAACCACCTCGGATCTTTTCATTGTAGTGTTGAAGCCATCAGACTGGTATTTTGGGACTGAGCAAACCAGGAAGGTAGATTCTTCCCCAGTGGTTGCACAGTAGCTGTGAGTCACTGGAGAATTCCAGAGAAGGCTAGAAACCATACCAGATGTGAAAGCAGGCAGAAATGTGGGGCTTTGGAATATGCATCAAGCAAATGGGTTACTCAGGAAACTAGGAGCCCAGTTTAGAACTTTTGGAGCCAAACAGACCTAGGTTTGAATTTTGTCTCCACCATTTACTGTACAGCAGGGCACTTCAATTTCTCTGTTTCCTGATTTCTAAATGGGAACCAGTATACTCTTCTCGGAAGTTTTGTAAGATTAAATGAAGTCCTGGTATTTCCCACACTTTGAGAGCCACGTCTCAGTCTATTTGTGAATTGAACTGTGCTCAAATACAACAACAACCTATCAGAAAGGCGGTTATGTCCCTAAAGACCTAAAATGGACTGTAAAATCACTAACTCTACTTTGCATTTTAGACATGGTCTTTGATATGTTATATTTCCATTATGCCATGTTCGATTCTTTAATCTTACTCCCTCTCATGGTTGACCAGCTTATTAAGTCCAGCAAGCACCTAACTGAGGCTAAAGAATTGCCACTCTCAGCACGGCTAATGATTTTCATCCTTGTCTCAATCGTTGTGAAGTTTGAGGCTCCTGCTTATTAACTATTCCTTCTTTTCTAAATGATCAATACAAAATGCAATTTGCATTTTTGAAATAATTACCCAAACACTACTTTATAAACATAGCAGTGCTGCTGAAAGTGAATTTTTGACTGATAGGCAGTGACAGTAATTATAAATGGTCATTTATTGGGGTGAAGGATATACAACAGCCTGATTTCAGCATTCATGATAAAGGGTGTAGGAGTATCAATAAACAGTGCACTAAAGAGAAGTTTGCTAGTGATTGAAATACAAAAGTCAAGAACCACGAGGCAAGAACAAGAAATTAAAGCCGTAAGAATTGGAAAGGAAGGAATAAAACTGTTTTTGTTCACAGACAGTGTGATCTTTGTAGGTAGAAAATCCTAAATACTCTATTTTAAAAGATACTAGAATATTAGTTTAGCAGAATGGAAGGATATAAGATCAATATACAAATGCCAATTATATTTCTATATACTAGTAATGGACAGTCTGAAAAAATGACATTTTAAGAAGATCAGTTTCATTTATAATATCAAAAAGAATAAAAATGCTTAAGAATAAACAAGAACTGCGAAAGCCATATGCTGAAAACTACAAAATGTTGTTGAGAGAAATAAAAGAACTAAGCTGATGCAGTATATACCATGCTCATGGATTAGCAGACTCAATATTGGTAATGCTTCCCAAACTGATCTACAGATTCAGTGTAATCTATCAAAATCTCAGTAGGCTTTTTTCTTTGGTAGAAATTGACAGACTGATGCTAAAATGTATATGGAAATGCAAGGGACCTAGAATAGCCTGAACAGTATGAAAAAAGAACAAAATTGGAAGACTCACCCACCCTTCCTTATTTCAAAACTTTTACTGTAGAGCTACAGTAATCCAGAAAGTGTGGTATTGGTATAAGGACAGATGTATGGATCAGTGGTGCAGAAGAAAAAGTCCAGAAATAAACCCTAATATATGTGGCCGGTTGATGTTCATCAGAGGTGCCAAGGGAATAAGGAAAAGATAGCTTTTCAACAAATAGTGCTGTTACCATTGGATTTCCATATGCAAAATAGTGGTTGTTGACGCTTACGTCACTCAAATTTCTCTTGGGAAAAAATTCTTAGGTATGACACAATAGCTGTGAACATTAAAAGAAAAAAGATCAATAAATTAGATGTCATCAAAATTAAATCGTTGCTCTTCAGAAGACACCATTAAGAAAATGAAAAGGCAAGCAGCCGATTGGAAGCAAATATTTGCAAAATAACTAACAAAGGACTTTAACCAAAATATATAAAGAACTTTTACAACTCAGTAGTAAGAAGATTCACAGTTTAATTAAAAATGAGAAAAAGATCTGAATAGACACTTTACCCATGAGGATATACGAAAGGCAAATGATCACATGAAAAGATGCTTAATCGGACTCATCATTAAGGAAATGCAAATTAAGACAATTAAATGCAAATTAGGTAGTAAGCCATCACTACCTCTCCACTAGAGTGGCTGAAATTAAGAAGACCAATAGCACCAAAGTGTTGGCAAGGATGTGGAGAAACTGGAAATCTCACACAGGGCTGAATGCAGTGTATAATGATGGCACATCTACTTTGGAGCATTTTGGCAACTTGTTTAAAAGGTAAACATACACTTTACCATTTGATCCAGCAAGTCTACTCCCACATAAAGTGGTTGCATAAACAAAGTGTGCTATATCCATACGATGGAATACTACTTATCAATAAAAGCAATTAGCTACTGATAACATGTAACAATATGGCTAAATATCAGAATCAGCATGTTAAATGGACAGAAGCCAGACACAAAAGACTGCATATTGTATGGTTTCTAGAAAAGGCAGAACTGAGGAGACAAAGCAGGTCCGAAGTTGCTTCAGGCTGGAGGTTTGGAGCAGGGATTGCTTGCAGAGGGTATGAGGGTATTTCTTAGAGTAATAGAAGAAGATTGTGGAGGGTTGTACAAATGCATACCTTTACTAAAACTCATTGAAATGTTCATTTAAAATGGATTAATTTTATGGTAAGTAAATTACATCTTAATACCTAAAAGATGCAAGTTCCCCAGGACCTGACACATGGTAGGTCCTCAGTAAATGTTAATTTTCTGCAGTCTTTTCTTATAAGTTTGATCCTGAGAACAGACAGATCTATAAAGATGCAGAGATCCAGAGGAACGTGTAAACTGCCAAAAATAAAATGTGCAATAGACTTAGCAGTTGGTTCTAAACTAAGGTTTTCTGTTTTCTAGCGAAACAATGTGTTGTGTGCATTGCTCATTACGTTCTTCCACAGACAGCTTTAGGTGATTTTGTGTGGTGGAGAGAATCTATACAAGAAATTAAAAGACACTGTAGGATGTATTTTCAGTCAAAGGATTTCATCATTAAACAGAAGTGGATATTCAAAACTGGACTCCTGAATTCTGCCTGCAAAGCTTGTAAACCTCGGGAATGTCTCTGAAGATGTCAGACTGTATCATTCATGGGCTAGACAGAACACTGGTTCAGGAGGAAGCATCCTAGAAGTCAAATAAACCATTCCACTGAAGAACCAAATTCTCAAGTGTCCTGGATTTATACTGCTGTGTTTATCCTCAGAAGCCAAGGTGAAGTAGAAACTG